AGCCCGTACATCCCAGGGTACTGGCCGTTGGTGGGGCTCAGTAACCCGTGGTGGGACCACCTGGAGGGAGAATGGGGTTGCTCAAGAAAACAGGGAGTGCAGGGAAGCAAGACCTGGAAAAAGGGGATCCCAGGCTTCCAGGCCTGGTGCGGCAGAAGAGAGCATTTACAGGCCTCAGTTTACGCCTCTGGAAAATGTGGAGCACAGCTGGGGCTGGGGAAGATCCTTGAGCCACGCACAAGCAGACCTCAGCTCTGAGTCCTGTTAGCCTGGGAGTCAGTTTCTGGTGTCCTCTCCTTACCTGCTGAGTGGCGAAGGGTGGATAGGAGGCCCGGAGAAGCGGCTGGGCCCTGGGCCATGGCTGCAGGAGCAGAAAGGTCTCGGATCGGGAGCCCAGAGAGGAGTTGGCGGGTGGATAGCGACCCACTTGCTGCACACGGAAGTGCTCAGGGGCATCAAGGAGCTCCAGGGCTGCGGGCAGGTAGACGGGGCCCAGGGGGTCTTGGTCACAGCCCACTGCAGAAGGAGAAGGCGTAGAGATGATGACCGCTCCAGAGCTGGCCAGGGCTGAACTAAGCTCCAGCCTGGGGCACAGGAGTGGTGGGCAGTGGAGGAAGAAAATGTTAAAAATGTCCCATGCCCCCAGGATGTAGGGGAAGTTGTCCCATTTCACAGAAGGGGAAATGGATAGTAGCACAAGATAGGACCAGGATTTGAATGTATATCCTGGACCGGATGCCAGCTTCCAAACCTTTCCTTCGTCTACCTTCCATAGGCTCAGGCCTTCCTTCCCTGAGGAGAACCTTCTCAGCATCCCCTCCCCATTCCTGCCCTCTACGTACTTGCCTCTGGTACCAAGCCATCTGTGGGGCACAGTTCTCCCCAGACAGGGTCTGTGCAGTGAGATGGTGATGAGGGGAGCTTTGTAGAAGCAGAGACCCATTCTCTGTCCCTGGGTCCTTGGCCAGACTTATCTGGGCACCCACTCTCCCTCCTCTTCCATCATCACCATGGAAACCGCACACTGCTTTTCTAAGCTTACTCCCTTCTTCTCTGTTCCAACTGGGTACCGGAGTGCAAAAATGGGATTGGGATTGGGACTTTGGGGGAGGGGGGGACCATGACCCTGGGGAGAGCCAAAATATTCAATGAGTAGAAGGACAAAGGACTCTTAAGACCGTATTTGGTTTGTACCAACTATTACTTAGCCCTAGTAATAATAAACACTTTCGGACACTAACTATATGCAGATGACTATTTAAGACATTTACATATATTAATTCTTCAATTTGTGTAATAACTCAGAACTAGGTTCTATTGCTATGAATTCCATTTTATGGATGTGAAAGATGAGACTGAGGTTAAGGGACTTGCCTGGGGTCCCCCAGCTGGAAAGTGGGGAAGCTGGGAGTCAGAACTCAGCAATTACAAACAGAGGGATACCCTGCTTCTCCTCCAAGTGGCTGTTTTCAAGGGTGAGCACTTCCAGCCTCACTCCCCAGACTGTGGGTCTCTCCCCTCACCCTTAAGGTCATGTAGTCTCCTTAAGGAAGCCCTTCTTGATTGCTTGCCCTCCCACCAGTCCCCTAATTGCCTCATCTGAATTGGTTGTCTTCCTGTCTATTGACAGGGGGACTTGTTCTACTGGTTCTTGAATCCCCCAAGCTGGGCAGCTCTCCCTGGACAGGATGTTCTGGGAGCCTGGAGGACTGCATTTCCATCTTAATTCTGCCGCAATAAAGCCTGGGTCATTTAACATCTCAGAGCCTGAGTCCTCACCTGTAGAATGAGCATTTAGTGACAACTGTGAGTAGGGGAGGGCTTTGTAAAGTGTGGCGTGCAGTCTGGAGGAGGGGTTATCACTATTGAATAATGGATGTGACAAGGCTTCCCTCAACTCTCTGTGTAAGAGGTTATTAGGACTCCTGCTGGGTCCCCTGGGGAGGGGAGCAGGTGGCTGAAAGCAGCTCTAGAGCCAGCTCCCCCTCTGCCCCATCCTGGGCTGGGGCACTTCACGGTTTCAACCTCTTTCAAGACCCTCCCCACCAAGGAGCTTGTATCTGAGACAGTCCACACATCCTGCCCCCAAGTGTTAACAGGTGAGTGACTATGGCTTCCTGGGGGCAGCCCTTGACCTCCGTTCTTCCTCCTGTTAGACTGCCTGGGTAATTACAAGATGCTCTGTGGCCTGACTCCCACGGACTCCCAGCACTCAGTGCTCAGCTCTCGTGAGAGTGAGGGGGGGCTAGAGAAAGCCTCACTATCTGCCACCCCCCACCCACCCACCCAGTTCTGTGGTGTCATCCGCCTGGTCTGACCCCCATCCTGGGCACACAGGAATCGCTCCCCCTTCCTCCAGCGATAGGGATCCCCACAGAATTCAGGAAGGCACGGATGGAGCAATCCCGGGAGATTCCAAGGTCAGATCGCTCCTGGGGGTAAGGGGAGGGCGGCTACGCACCTCGCAGGTCCAAGGCAAACGGGTTGCTTCCCATGCCCGTGGGGGCGGGTCGATGGTGGGTGAGTGGGTGAGTGGGTGCGGGGAGGAGGCTAGGAGCCCTGTGGACCGCAGATTACGGAGCTGGTGCGCCTGAGCCATCGGCAGCCGGGTTAAATACCCAGGCGGAAGGGGGAGCTCGCGGAAGGTGCGGGGGCTGGAGGTGAGAGCCCGGGACTGGCTGGTCCCGGATTAGGAAGAGTTGCCAGGTTCTGGAAGTGAGGGAAGCAACAGAGGAGCGCGACTGGAGGGAAGATCCGTTTGGGGGGCGAGAGGGGAAGGAGTGGTGAGACCTCCGGTCCTCAGGGCAAGCTGCGGGGCGACCCTCTCCGGGCTTAGTCCGGGAATCCGCAGGTCCCCGCTGGCCGCATCCCTCCAGACCGGCCCCGGCCGGGCCCTAGCCACCCCGGGTCCCGCCCATCCCCTCCCCTCCCGCTGACCTCTCACGACGTCCAGGGCCAGGGCCACCAGGAGGCAGAGCCAGGGGCCGCAGGGCCCCCGGGGAACCGCTTCCGCGCGCCCCGCCATCCCGGCGCACATCCTTCCCGCGGAGGTCGGGGACTAGGCGGGTGGCTCAGGTGGCCCCCGCCCGCCCGGCATCTCCCGCGCCCGCTCCGCGCCGCCCCGACCCGGTCGGCTGGATCCCCGCCGCCGCCGTCCCAGTCGCCTGCCGGCGGCCGCAGCTCCCAGACAATGGAGCGGGAGCCGGAGCAGGAGGGTGGGAGGGAGGGAGCGCGGCACGGGGGCTGCCCCTCCGCCCCGCCGGGTCCTAGTGCCCTACGGATCCCCAAGCCCCGAGCGCCCCCGCTCTTGAGGTCGGGAAGAAGGCCGCTCCCCTGGAGACTGACCCGCCTTACTAAGAGGGCCTCGAGGCGTTCGGCTGGCTCCCTCTTGGCCCTGGAGGAAACAGCCACTTCCTCTGCCTCACGCCCGCCCCACAAGTAACCCACCTGTAAAGGCATCGCACATCTAACTCTGAACTGATATTGGGGAAGATGGGGAACCAAATTGCGGGGGCGGAAAGGCGGAGAAAGCGGCCCAAAAGGGCTGGGTGACAACCTCCTGGGCCTGCCCTGACAGAGCCCTAGGCCATGCTGGGGGAGGAAGGTCTCGGGCGCAGACGGCCGGAGTTCGTGCCCAGCCCCACCCCTGGGAGAGGCCCCTCAGCTCCTGAGGAAGTCCCGCCCTCCAGGTCTGGCCTCCGGGCCCAGCCTTGCCTACCAGGCAGTTCGGAGAGGTCCGGACGGGGGCACCTGGCGGCACGTTAGCATCTTCGTGGCGGTTTAAAAAGAAAAAAAGCAAAAACAAAAAACAAAAAACAAACAAAAAAAACCCCAAAACAACAACAACACAAAAAACACCAAAACAACCACACCTGGGACCCTAGAAAACAACCGATTTAACCTATGGGCCAGTTTGAGAACCACAGGGCAGGAAACTCCCGTCTGGTGAGGGAAAGAGAGAGGGCAGGCAAATCTCCTGGCTGTCTTGGGGCCAGCCTTTCCTACTCTTGCACACAGCGGCAGGAAGACGTACCCTTCCTTCCTCTCTCCCACATACACACTACTCCAGCAGTGCGGGTCAGTTCCTGGAAGTTTGGGAAAGGGGGCGTGACTTCCTCATTCCTCACACTCCCGGAGGGAAGGGTACCTGGCACCAGCCTTCTTCTTGCCCTGCCCCGCTTCTCCCGCCCTTTCCACCAGCTTCACACAGCCCCTGCAGGGAAAGTCAAGAAAACTGAGCAGCTCTGCAGAAATGGATTTAGCTGTAGGGAGAAATGAAAGCCATCCAGACTTTGAGTAAATACATTTTATATGGAACGAGATAATAAAATAGCGTGCATTTTATTTAAAACCAACCAAGCGCTGATAAAAATATGTATCACTGCAGCTGTGATTCCACATCAAACCTTGACAGTAAGAACTGGGCACTGAATTCATTCTTCACATGATGTGCTGGGCCTGGCAGAGGATGCCCACCTCCACCAGAGCCCCAGAGGAAGAACGAGACCCCTGGTGGAGAGGGCTCAGGTGACAGGCACCCTGCCCCTCTTGGAGCTTGGGAGGGGAAGGGGCCATGTGTGCAGCTCTGGTTTGTCTGCCCTGCACTCCCCCTGGGCCACTGGGGTGAGCGGTTCCTTAGTGGCAGTGAGTGGAGGGAGAAGGGTGGAGAACTGTCTAGAGCTGTGTAGACCAGAGTCCTCCTCCTTCCACCTTCAGTGTCTCTGAAATCCCCACAGGGGATCTGATGGCCACTGCAGGGTCCTACTTGCAGCCACAAGCTTATGAAGCAGTCACCTTTTGCTCTGGCTGAAGGGGAATCAAGGTTCCGAGAGGGACAACTCTCTTCTTGACACAAAGCAGCCACAGTGCACTTTCCTACATACAGTACAGCAGCGGGCAAGCAGAGGGCCCTGCTGGCTCGGATTAAGGCACTTAATGAAACTCAATGTATATCCTCATTCCCAGCCCCCGTGGGAACTCCACCCGCGCCCCTGTATGCCCTGCCTCTTCCCCAGGGCTAGGCAATGAAGAGGACAGGAACATGCCTTGAGGGGCAGTGGTTTGGGCGGAGTGCTGCGCTAGAAGGAGACAAACAGGAAGGAAGCTGGGGACTTGGCAGAGGGAGAGCTCCAAAAGGACTGGAGAGCAAGAGCATCAGGGGGAAGGCAAGGCAGCAGCAGAGGGGAGCCGGCTGAGTCACGGGAGGACCCATGGCAGTGATGTCCACTGAGAGCAGATGCACAAAGCCACAGGGGGGCCCTTCCAACCCGGCCTGACTGAGGCAGGCAGGGAGCAGAGAAAGGGTTAAGACAACCAATCCCAGACAACCTCACAAGACAGGGCCCCTGCCGACCAGCATGGGGCATGGTCTCCCTCTTTCTCAGCTAAAGGGTCTGGTGCAGGGTTGGGGCTCTGACAGTTCAGAGACAGGGCAAGAAAGGGGCGGGGGGCTGGAAGGAGTGCTAGGCGATCCCGAAGCAGTGCAGCTCTTTGGTACGACGAAGGTGTCCTTGTCCGGCAGCCTCCTCACTCCTCCTCCACACTCCGGGGCCCCTTGGCCGCCCGCCTCTGCCGCCAGCGCAGCTCTTCCACCTGCCGCTCCAGCCCCCGAACCTTGGCCTCCAGCTGGGCCCCAGAGGCCCGGGTGCCAGTGAGCCGGCTCAGCAAGGCATAGAGGGTCAGCAGGGCCAGGAGGAGCAAGGCCCGGGTGGAGGGGTCGGGCACAGACCTCACCAGGGCCACAAAGCCAGCTAGGAAGAGGACAAGCTTCAGGCCCCACAGGATCCGCCCCAGCAAGGCCAACACCAAGCCAAGGAGCAGGGACAGAAGCCAATAGACGACTAGGGCCCCTGCTCCCCACAGCAGGAACGTCTGGACCTGGCTGGGGCTGAGCTTCAGTGCCTGCGTGAGGTGGTCTCCTAGAAAAGGGAGAGTCACAGAATCAGTCAACCTGGGGTGGTCAGGGCACAGGAGGCCAGAACCAAAAACGGGGGAGGAGCTAAACCCCCTTTCCCACAGGGCCACCAAGATAGGAGCATGAATCTCAGCGCCTGCTGGCTGGGGGTAGATTACTTCTCTTGGTTGAACCAGTTCCTCTGCAAAAGCGGGAGTGATTCTCAGGGTTGCAGGTAACAGTTAAATGAGACACTGTGGCTTAGCACCACGCTCTGCCTCACATGAAGCAAATGCCTGGTGGGTGCTGGCAGTCATTAGCCCGTTCTTAGGCTTGCCTCTGGGGAAACCTGGCAGGGGTCAAGCAGCTAGGGAAAAGTCTGGGCCCTGGAAAGATAAAGTCCCACCAGCAGGAAGTGACAGGCTAAGCTCCAGGAGCCCTGAACAGTTCTCTGGCGCTCACCATCCAGTCCCAAGGCATTCAGCAGCTGCGCAGTGATCCCGGACAGTGCGAAGAAGGCCACTGAGATGGCCGAGGAGATAGCCCACATCACCTGAGACAAGGTCTGTGGAAAGAGCAGGGCAGGAGATGAGTCTGCAATCAATCACGCTCCTTCTCCTTCAGGCCTCTCACCCCCACTGGGTCAAGGCCTGGAAGAACACGTCTCCCTCTCAGCCAGGGGTTTGCCCACCAAGCCTGCACAGCAGGCCATGTGTCCTTCCTGAACTGGAACTCGGGACCTCAGGACATCTGGGCCCTCACTCAACTGATCTACCAGAATACTTTGGTGATGGCAGTGGGTTAATGTGTGTGGGGAAATCATCAAATCTCTCCAGTGGTCGCCCTGTGAAGCTGGGGTCCTCCCGGGGAGTCATGAAGTGGTGTGAAGCAACATATGCGAAGGGCTAAGACTTTTCAATGAAAAAAGCTCAGGTACCAGCTCTATCAGATGCTGGGTTTTATAAATGATCATTTCAACTGTTTAGAACGTCCTATGGAAAATATGTGCTGCCATACCTGGGATGCCCTAAGTGAGAAGAGACAGCCCTGCCTTAAGCCCCAGTCAGACCTACTTCTACCTCTACAGGGGAAGGCACGGATTCAGGTCTTGATATTTTGCCAATTTAAGACTTCAGGTCAAATTTAGACCAAAGTCAGACTCTATCGTCATCCAGCAACATGGATTTATAAAGACTGGCTCATTTCCCAGGCTTTCTGACAAGAAAGGGCAGGAAGATGGGAAAGGGCTAAAGGCTCCAGGGCAGGAATCAAACAATGGGACTGCAAAAAGCAGGTACTGTCTGGCTTCATTTTGTGGAATGAAGGGGCTCTCTGCACCAGGGATTGTGACACACAGAGGATGTGGAGCCAAGACGGGGTGACCACGAACGTCTCCTCCTTTCTCTCTCTTCGATGTGTGTGCTCACAGCAGGGACCACCATCCTTACCTCGGAAACCAGGTGCATGGTCTCTGGCCCAAGCCAGGCATCCAGTGTTCCCCGCATAGAGCGGCCCATCTGGCTCAAGAGATCGACTGGGGCCTCCTTCTTCTGCTGGCCTGGGGGCACAAAGTCTGCATGGGACTGGGATGATGCTGAGTGGAGGAGGACGAGGGCCACTAGGAACATCAGGATGACTTTGAACACATGCTTGCCCCACGGTGAGCTACTGCCTGGGCCTGCCATGGCTGGGTCTGCCAGGAAAGAAGCACAGGGTGAGCAGGGAGCCAAAACCCGCACAGACAGCGGCCATCACCTGCCCCAACACCCTCCTCGACCCCATCCTGTTAGCTGAGAAAGGCAGAAGTGGGCCTTTCAACTTCAGCTGGGCACAACCATCTGATTCACGGGTTCCTCCTTCACATTCTTTACCACCTGCATATTAATTAACCAGCAAGTACTCTTCAATGCCTTCGGGTGGGTGAGAAGATCTAGGATTATTCCAGTTCTAAAAATCCAACAGCCCATCTCTGGGTCTTAGGTGCTGTGAGTATAAAAGAAAGCATAAGACTATAAAGCTTTGTCCCCAGAGAGGTTATAATCTACTTAAGATAAAGCTGATATTAAAAAAAAAAGCTTAAAAAATAGCACACAAATATGATTACTGCAATGATGTAAAGGGCAGCACTCAGGGATGTGCTCAAGCAAGAAAAAATGGCATATATGCCATCTGCTCTGTAGGACGGACCATCGTACGAGGTGGGTATTAGCCTCCTCACCCTCCGGGTGACAATGAGAAGAAACTGAGACTTAAGAGTTAGGCATCTGCCCAAGGTCACTGGGCTAAGCAGAGAGGACAGGATTTGAACCCCGGCCTCTACTTCCAAACTGCGCACCCACTGGGAGTGAAGGGAACACAGGGGATCTCAACTGGGACTGTTCCGCGGAGTCACCTGGGAGCTTCCAAACTACTGATGCTTCTGTCCCGAGCCCAGAGGTCCTGGTGTCACCGGGTAGGACTTGGGCTTAGACCTGCAAAAGCCCCCCAGGGGATTCCACAGCACCAAGCAGAGATGCTCTGACAGGGAATGGTCTCAACTCCCCAGCCTCCAAGGCAGGCAAAGGGTTAAAACGCAACCTTTAGGGAGAGATATTAATAAAAAGCGAACCACAAGCACCGCCGCATCAGGGAGGTATTGTCACTTTCCTCCATTTTACTGAAGAAACCGAGGTGGGAGAAGCAGTAAGTGGGGAAGTCAGGATTCGAACCCAGGTGCACCTGACAGCAGCGCCCTTGCACATGCCACCCAGCTGTGTCATCTCCAAAGTCAGTCTCTAAAGTGATTTAGAAAGTCACACAATAGATTATTCATGAGCCACAATCAACTTGGCATCTGCCAGTCATCTCCGTGAACTACTGGTGACAATTCACTTAACTGCTTTGTGCTCTGTACTCGCCCAACGTGATGCTACAGGCAAGTTAAGGCCCCAGCAAGCACCGATTCATTGAAGCAGGTATGGATTAGCCAAAAAGAGTGTTCGCCAAGTCTATCTTCCATTTGCCACTGTGCTCGAGAAATGTCAAACGGCACCAGCAAATCCCCTGTTCTTTCAGGCTGGGCAATAAACCTGTAGCTCCAGGGAGTCTCCATGATTCAAACCCGACGATCAGAGGCTAAGCCATGCCCCTGACACAGGGCAGCTAGGTATCTGGAATGTTTGCAGTTACCAGAAATAGCCAGAAATGAGAGGCACTGGGACGGAGGAGAGGGAAGATGTGCCCATTCTTACTTAGTGGGAAGGAGAGTCCGAGAAAGAGTTATAAAAATATCACATCCGAGCACTTTCTGGCCCAGAAACAGCTGCCCTAAGTTCCTCTTGGGGTCTGTGGAATCAAGCAAGTCTGCAAAACACGCATTCATGGGGAGCAACCTCAGGCCAGGAAGCCTTTTATTCTACTCTTTGGCATAAATCAAGAACCAGATGGTTCCTGCCTGCCAGTGGTCAGACAGGAGGAAAGCACAGGTCAGTTCCTGAGCTATCTGGGTCATAACCACACTGGGAACTCAAAGAGCAGGGTTGCTATCTTGGGTTGGGTCCTATATCCAAGGACCTCCACCAGGACGGATCAGATGTCGTCTCCTCTGTTCTAGAAGGTCAGGGTGATGTGAGCTGCTCCCCCCCAAAGCAGCCTCCGGCATTCTGTGCTAGCCTCAACTTTCAGGCAGCCGTCTGCCCCAGTCAACAGGAGCTAGGGGACCTTGGAATAAACCCCCATGAGGCCATCATTGCCCTGCCAGCTGATCTTTTGAAGTGCACCAGAAACCAAATCTAGCAGGATTCTAGAGCATGCCCTTTACAGATAAGGGTGCAGATCACTGGCTGGTCCATTTCTTCCAGCTGTTTTATTTAACAGGCTTCCTTCTTATTTCTTCTAGGTCATTTCTAGGCAGCAAGAATCAGACTCACTGTCATTATACCTCCTCACTGCAGCCCAATCAAATACTTTCAATAAAGAGAAGCCATGGCAGTCAAGAGCTTACTCCGTCTCGAGCTCTGAGGCGAAGTAGGTAGGTCTTAAACATCATCTCCTGCAATGCCTGGCCTCAAATGGTAGGCATTCAACAACAACAAATTGTACATGTGTGATTGTGTGTATTCATATTTATATATGCAAGCGGCCATCTGCCCCAGTTGAGTGTGTCTGTATCTTGTTAAGCATATGTTTGTGTATGAGTGTAGTGCTTTATAATTTAAAAAGGACTGTCTCTTCTTGTCATTGAACTCTTACGACAGCCTGATAAGTTTCTGTGATTCCACATTTTACTCAGAAAACCATGGCTTACAGAGGTCAAGTGACTTGTTCAAGCTCACACAACAGAACTGGGCCTTGCCTGCAGAACCCAGGATCTAAATCTTGCCTCTTTGCTTGTTCCACATCCCTCTGCTGCCTCAGAAAGACACGGTCCCTGCCCTCAAGTCACTGAAAGTTCCACCAAATACCAACAAGCTCAGAGTGAGAGGACATCCAGATTCCTAATGGGAGTTGACCCACCTGCTGGACTTAGAGGTCCTGGTTTGGTACCAAGATGTATGAGGACGGCAAAAGATTGAGGGAGACCTGCCCCTTCTGTCCAGGTATCTGTAAGATGGCTCAGGCAGGGCCAGGAGAACCTGGCTCCGCTGGAAAACTGCTTCACTTAACTACCGTAGTGAGGAGGCATATATGTTCAGCTGTGGTTTGCCGAGAGGGCAGGGTGAGGCAGCCCACACACCCCCTGCCAAGGCTCCTTCCTCTGGTTAGCTTCCTTTCACACCATAAATCACTACATGGCAGGAGGGGCAGCTGATTCAGTGCCCTCTGGTGGCCCTGATTTTCCCCATCATTGCCCAGAGCTGCCCAGGTGGAGCAGGGCTTCTGGGCTCTGGTCGCTCGTGGAGCCTGTTCAAACACGGATGTCTGCCCCACGAGGGTCCACCTTAGACTCTCACAAAGAAGGGCTAAGGATTTTGTTTGTAGAGCCCCTGGAAGATTTCTGATGTATAACTGGACAGCTGCCGCAAGCGACCAGCATAGCAGGAAGTCTGTTCTAGGCGAAGCCTCCAAAGTGTGGCAGCAGACAAAGGAACTGAGACTTGCATCCTAGACTCAGTTCTGCCACAAACTAGAAGCCACTACCTTATGCCTATTACTTAATCTGAGTCTCAATCTCCTCAATGCAAAATGGGGTTAAGCAGGGTTAAGAACAACTGCGGATTTCTGCAAAGCTTTGTAGACCTTAAGGGTCAACAGAAATGTTGCAGCACACAGACTGTCAATACACCACTCATTACATTGTAGCATCATCGAGCAGTTTACAGGCCAGCCTCCCCCAGGAGACTTTGAGCGCCTCCGTTAGACTTGACAAGTTTCTTTTTTTTTTTGGAATCCTCAGTGCCTAGCACAGAACAATGACTAATAGATGCTTGTGAAATGAATATTAGAAGCCCGCCAAGAAGCTGCGAGAGTGGCAAGGGAGAGGTGGGAAGAGAAGGCTTATTTTAAAGTTGATCCAAATAGGCAGCAGCCACCGCAGAAGCACAGCTGCGTTGAAAGGAAGCTCCTTGATGGGGTGAAGCTGCCACTGAGGAAAATGAAGTCAGCATCCCAGCAGGTGGGGGCAGCCCCCGCTAAGCCCCTGACAGCTGCTGCCCAGCAACTGTTTGGGGGCAGGGCGACGGGCAAAGGGGCAGCTTCCTCCCCAGGGCCCAGCCTTCCCCAGACAGGGTGTCAGTAGCATGTGCTATTTCGAACAGCAAGTCCCCTGCCAAGCCCTGCTGGGTGGTGTCGCTGGCAAGGGACGCGGCGCGGCCCATGGGCTTGGGGGTACCCCCAAGGGGCTAGGGGTACCCCGAGGGGCTCAAAGCATGGCGGTGGGAAGTTGGGCCGGGGGAAGCTGGGCCATGGGGTGGGATCGAGGGACTCAGCGCTAGCCTCCTACCCATGCCTGGCAGCAGCCCCGCCTCAGCCGGACCTCTGAGCGGAGAGCGCCTAACCCTCTTCACCCCGGAAACGCGTGCCTCCCTGTTACTTAGTAACGACGCCCCCTGTTGCATAGCAACCAGGATCCGGGTCCCCAGTTTGTTTCCCCGGCCGGGCGCCATCGGACCCCTCCCCACGTGTGTTCGCCAGGCCTCGAGGCCGCGCCTTGCTTCCACCTGCAGCGGCTGCCGCCTGCCCGTCCCACGTTCTGCCCCTAAGCCCCGGTCTCCACTGGCACTCACCCGGCTCCGGCCACTACTATCCTTCACGTGCGACTTCGCTAAAACGCGCCACCAAACCCGCGCCTCTACTCCCGGGCGTTGGTTTATCGTCTGCGCACGCGCAAGGCGGGATGAGCCCGGGACCGACCGGTCCCCCTCCCAGCCCAAACCCTGTGCCTTGGGCGCATGCGCCCTACCCTCTAGCTCACGATTCCCACCCCACCCCACCCCCAAGCATTCCCACCAAAAAAGCGTGGGATCGTTAGTTTCTGGCAGGAACGGGGGAAGAAGTGACTATAACTGGGGTGTGAAGTAAATAAAGTGGATCTTCGAAATTCGGAGTCGAAGCCTATCCATCTCTTCAATACCTCAGCATTCCGGGCAATGTAGTTTCGGACTCATCAGTGCCTCGTGGGGCATTGTGGGAAATGTAGTTCTAATCTAGAGGCACCTGATCTCTTGAGGAACTTTCCCGCTAAAAAGGCACAAAGGAAAAAGGTGTTAGAGGAGCAGTAAGAGGTACTGGAGCTAGGAAGTTGAATCCGCCCCTCTGAGAGCAGTTACACACCCAAACTCTGCAGATGGCTCCCAAATGTTCATTCAATTTTAGAGAAGGAAAAGAAGCAACACCCAGACCCCATTTCTACGAAAAAAGGCAAGATCGTGAGGGCGAACAAACAGGAGTTTGGAATGAGATGATCCTTTGCCTACTTTGTCATTCTAGGCACTTTGCTTCATCCCTCTTGACCTCAGCTTTTCAGCTTTCCTACACAGTCCTAAAAATACCACTTCATTTCACAGTAGGGTGTGGAGAGTCAATCAGTAATGAGAGTGAATATTAAAAAAAAAAAAAATCCAAGTCACTATCTGAATACCTCTCTCACATTGGCTGCTTTAGGGAAGCTCCCCCTTAGATGCTAAAACAATTCTCGAAGCTCAACACCCTAAAACAGAACTCTTTTCCCCATCCTCCCTGGATCAGCCTTCTAACTGTGCCTTCCTTTCAGACTACACAACTCATTGGCAACCAGCCCATCACCTCCTCCAGTTGTTTCTTCAGATGTTTCTCAGCTTCACCCATCTTCCTGCCTGAGCTAAGGTTCTCTTTCTTCCAGAAAAGGCTCTGGTAGCATCCTGGGCCTCACCTTCCAGCTTTCCTAACAGTTACAAATTTACATTTGTTTGTGAAATGTTTTTGATTTGTAGGACTACCAAACTGGGGTCAGACTCTTGTGCAAGAAATGTAACTCCTTACCCTCACCCCCATCCCCACTATTTCAAATCACTTTATTTTCAGCTCTTTTTCATCTGAGTAGTAGAAACAATTCTCAAACAGTTTGGGGTTCTTCCCACCTTGGTTTTCAGAGTGTACACCGTGTTTGGAAAAAATGGGGCCGAAGTGCCACGAATCCTGTCAGTTAAACTGCATTGTCTTGCCTACTCTTCGGTTACTTGTCCACACAGGTTGCCACTAAATCTACTAGAGAAATGGAGCTTCTTCTGGGTTACTGGCCAACATGTCCCCTAAGTTCCCTTAGTTCTGAGTAGTAGCAGACTTGGCCGAGGGAACAAGGCATAGAGCTCCTCCCTTGGGGTGTTACCTATGGCTATCCATATATCCCTTTTTTTACTATGTCTTCCTTCCCTGCCTAGGGGATCTTTAGCTCCCTTGTGGGAGTTTGAGACTGGAAGAGTGGGGAGGACTCTGAGATCAAGTTCTTATCTGTAATATTTACTCCAAAATTTATTTCCCTATATCCTTTCTATCCCTGAGGGGCTGGTTTTTGAAATTCACAAGGCTTGAAAGGACTCCCTGTTTTCTCCCTTCTTCAGTCACAGCCCTAAGCTCCCCAGTATAGGGACACCTCTGCTTTCACTCACAGTGGTATCCCTAACGCCCACGATAGTGTCTGACTGGCACACAGTGGGTACTCAACAAGGATTTGTCCAACAAATGAATTCCTGACTCTCTTCCTCCAGTCTGTCCTCCTCCAAGCCATCCAGGGTCTTCTGGAGGAATCTTTGGGAAGTGTAGCTATCACTCCACAGTTCAGCTCCTGTTCTGCTACCAGCCAGATCAAGTCTAACTAGACTCTGGTTCAAGGCCCTGACTAAATGGATCCATTTTATTTCCTATCACTTCCAAATATTCAAGACACTTGGTGTCGGACAGCCTGTCATTCAACCAAGAGCAGCTATGAAGTTCCCGCTGTGTGTCAGGTGCTGTGTTAGACTCTGAGGGAAACAGTGACCAGAATGGTTCCTGGTATCACAGAGTTTACAGTCTGGTGGAGAACACAGAGATCAGACACCTGTAAGCAATTAAATCATCAAATGATTATAGCTTCCAGAACGGCTTGAAGGAGAATTACAGGGTGGGGGTGTCAACTTCAGTCGGGGGTCAAGGAAAAGGCCCCAGGGGAAGTGCCATTTAAGATGAGATGGACGGTTCACTTTGGAGGGAATAGGTGGGGAGGAGAGAGGAGGAAGGTGTGCCAGGCACAAGTAGTGGAACCAGCCAGAGGGGCTAATTTGAGGACTTGAAAAGCCAGTGTGGCTGGAGGCAATATGAAGTGTGGTGGTGGAGGTCAGTAGGAGCTAGATGATGCAGGACTTGGGGGCAAGTTTTCTCTGCCAGAAACACTCTCCCTCATTCAGGTCTTGGCAAAAATGTCACCTCCTCAGAGATGACCTCCCCGAATACCTTGTTTAAAGCAGCCCATCTCTCCCATCCACACCACCTCCTATCCAACTTTCTCTGATTTGTTTCATTCTTAGCACTTACCTCTCTCTGGAATTTTTTTCTGATGTGTTGACTGTCTTTGCTACCTCACCACCCCCCCCCCGCAAAATGTAAGCTCCAAGAGAGCAGAAACCTTGTTCACCATTTGTGTCTCCAGTTATCAGAGCAGAGTCTGGCACTTAGGAGGCACCCAATTAATATTTGTTGGATGAATTTGGAAAGCCTGGGGAGTAGCAGGAATAGATTTTTCATGGGAAGTGGATCACTGGCTGTTCTGTAAAAAGTGGATTGGAAGCCTAGGCTGGAAGCAAGACCAATTAGGATGTTAATTTACTGCTGCAGGGAGACATAATAGTAGTTTGGACAGTCTCGCTTGGATTCAGGGATAGTGATAAACATGAATATGTATATCGTACTTACTATGTGCCAGGCAATGTCCAAAGCTCTTTTTATTTATTTTATTTATTTTTAAGTAGGCTAGAAGCGGGGCTTGAACTCACAACCCTGAGATAAAGACCTGAGCTGAGATCAACAGAAGGACGCTTAACTGACTGAGCCACCCCAGCGCCCCCCAAAGCATTTTTTAAATATTAACTCCTCACAACAACCCTATGAGCTAATTTAACCTTTGGTATTATTCCCCGTATTTTACAGATGAAGAAATTAAGGCAGGGAAGTTCACACAGTTTACTAGCTGAGTGGGCTGGGATTAGAGTACAGGCAATCTGGCTTCAGACCTCAGACTGCTCTTGGCTCCTATGCCATGCTGCCCTTCATACCTGCAACTTGTACTCTTCTCTCCAAGCTTTTCCTCAAGCTCTTCCTTTTCTTGGGATCCTTGTTCTTCCCTTTATCTGAGTATTGCCTACCCGTAAAAATCCAGCTCATTCATCCCTCGTCAGCCAAGACGACGTCACTGATTACACTTGGATCCCTTCTAGTCCACACCACGTGTTCCGCCCATGATTCCTTAGAACCTCTTACAGACAGCCACTTAGAACCCGACAGATCTGAGCGGGAAGGGGTCTGGCAGTCATGCGGGAAAGGGGCAGAGAAGGTGATGACTTGCCCACGATCACACCGCAAATTGGTAGTAGAGGCAGGGCCAGAACAGTTTTTCCCTCAGGGCTGGTTTCTCTACCCCTCTGCACCTGCGCTTTCTTCTCCGGGCACCTAGCCGCATCTCTCAAAGGGTGGCGGGAAATACACCTGCCTCGGAATCACGTGGGGGCACGCACTAAAAATGCAGACTCTCTAAGGCAGACCCCAGGAAGATGCATTTTTTTTAAAGTGTTAGGAAATTCACTTACACTCCAAAGTTTGTGCGAAATACCGTCCCCATGGACCAGCGCAGCACAGGTCTCCCCAAAGTGTTGCTCAACGCATTGGCTTTAAATTCCCACTGCATTGTGGGAAATGTAGTTTGGAACCTCCTCTGCCCCAGCCCTCGGGAGCGCTTTACGGAAGGCGCCGAGTAGGTCCGGAAATGGCCGAAGGTTCCGTGGCGGGCCCTTTCCTGCCCGGTTGCATTCTGGGAAAGGGCAGTTTCCGTTAGGTGGTGGAGGCTGAGGCGCGCGAGCGGCCGCAGCCCCACGTGAAGCGCTACGTGAACATCGCTCGGCGGGGTCGCTCCCCGCTAGTCTCGGAGCGTCCCGGAAGCAGCGGGGGACCGGAAGCGGCCCGCGGGGGCGCAGAAGCGAATCCCGGAGCCCGGTGTGAGGCGCCTGGGAGCGCAGCGACGGCGCCATGTCCCTGATCTGCTCGAGTGAGTGTCGGCTGCGGCCGATCGCGGGTCGCAGGGGGCCGGAGCGCGGAGCGGGAGATGCTGCGGGCCTCTGCGGCGCGGGGGTCGGGGCGGAGGCGAAAACAGGGCTCCCTGGGGGCAGGGCGGCGGCCTGTCAGCGCGGGGGTCCTCCTCCTCCCTGTCGTGGGGTGCATTTGCGCAGCGCTTCACAGTTTACATAACGCCTCAAGTTTATTGTCGCAGACGTCACTGAGGCCAAGCACCTCGTTTACGCAGTGAACTGAGCCCGGGATGGAGGGAGCTGGTGCAGGGAAGCAGCTGTGGTGTAGGAATCGGGCTTGTGCAGGATCTCCCTTCCGATTGGCTTTGTGATCTGGCGCAGGCTCTGGGCCTCAGTTTCCACACCTGCAAAAAGAGGGTATTGCACTGCATGACGTCTGAGGTCCCGCTCGGGTAGTCCGAGATTCTGCAGTTTGCGAAGGTCACACGGCGAGTTAGAGGCAGTGACAGGGCTGGAATCCAGGTCCCTGGCTCCCAGCCTCCCAGTCTCCCTCTGTACGACTACCAAACACAGCGCACATTTGTAAAGCCTTTGGTCGACGCAGCGCTTCCCAGTCCGTGATCTCATTTTATCCCCACAAGAATTCTCCA